CTAAAAAACTAGATTATATCATGGTACTGTGTCTAGTTGATGAGAATATAGTTCACAAAAATACTGAAAAATATTAAGCAGTGTAATAAGTTAATTGTGCATGACATTTAATAGCTTCGATATGAGATCAGCAAATGTTTTCTCTAAAGGGCAAAGATGCTTGGAGCTTTCTGAAACATCATGGTGTCTGTCTACCCTTCCTCTGTGAAGGAGTAGTCATAGACCAGTTGTTTCTCAATCTTGTAGGTTAAAACCACTGGAAAGCACATATTCCAATGGTCTTCGGAACTGAGACACTGTTCATTAACATAATTACAGTACAAAATAGCAACAAAAATAATTTTATGATTGGGGTCACCAAAACATGAGGAACTGTATTAAAGGGTCACAATATTAAGAAGATTGAGAACCAATGAGCAGTGTGGCTATGTGCCAATGAAATAATTTGCAAGAATTTGGGGTTATAATTCCTTGAGCCCTGCTTTAAATGTAAAATGGGGCCTCCAGTAGAAAGCTGGGGGTTGTTGTGTGGAGTTTGAGGAAGATGAGGTAAAGAAAGGAGCCTGACTTGCAAGTTAAGGCTAAACCATTGTGTGGGCAGAGTGATAGTTAGGTGCTGACATTTTTGGAGTTAGTCACACCTGCCTTCAGATAATAGCTCTTAAGTTTCATTACCTCTGTTTGCTCACTGCTACAATGAAAATAAGAGGCCCTCTTCTCTGGAAATAGCCTCTTTTTTTTCTGTCTTAAATTTTTTTTTATTACAATTTATTCATTTTGTATCCAAGCTGTAGGCCCTCCCTTGTCCTAATCCTGCCCTCCCTTCCCTTATCCTCCCATGCCCCTTTCCCAGTCCACTGATAGGCGACATCCTCCTCCCCTTCCATCTGACCCAAGCTTATCAGGTTTCATCAGACTGTCTGCATTGTCTTCCTTTGTGGCCTAGTAATGCTGCCCCCACCTCAGAAAGAGGTGATCAAAGAGCCAGTCACTGAGTTCATGTCAGAGACAGCTCCTGTTCCCCTTACTAGGGAACCCACTTGGAGTCCAAGCTGCCATGGACTACATCTGTGCAGGGGTTCTAGGTTATCTCCATTAATGGTCCTTGGTTGGAGTATCAGTCTCAGAAAAGATCCCTTTGCCCAGATTTTTTGGTTTTGTTGCTCTCCTTATGGTGCTCCAGTCCTCAACAGTCTTTCTGTCTCCCCCGTCTTTCATAAGATTCCCTGCACTCTGCCTAAAGTTTCCCTATGAGTCTCAGCATCTGCTTTGATACTCTGCTGGGTAGAGGCGCCCTCTGTGGTATGCTCCTGTCCTGTTCCTTGTTTTCACCATCTTTTGAGCTCCATCTCATTTGCTTTTCTGAATGAAGATTGATCATTTTACTCAGGGTTCTCCTTCTTGCTTAGTTTCTTTAGGTGTGCAGATTTTAGCATGATTAACCTATATAAGACAACTAAAGGGGATCAAGGGGATATGAATAGGAAAGAAAGAAGATAAAGTAGCTTATTTGCAGTTGATATGATAGTATACATACATGACCCCAAAAATTCCACCAGTAATCTGCTACAGCTGATAAACACGTTGACAAAAATTGCAGGATACAAAATTACCACTTAAGAATCCATAGCCTTCCTACATACAAATGATAGACTGAGAATGAAATCAGGGAAATAATATCTTTCATAATAGTTTTAAGGAAAATTTGGGGGATAAATGTAACCAAGCAAGTAGAAGACTTTTATGATAAAAACTTCAAGTCTTTGAAGAAAGAAATTGAAGATATCAGAAAGTGGAAAGTGGAAAGATTTTCCATGCTCATGGATTGGTAGGAGTTGGCCATCAGTAAAGTTGGCCATCCTTCCAAAAGCAATCTAAAGATTCAATTCAATCCCTGTCAAAATTCTAACACAATTCTTCACAGAACTTAAAAGGATAGTTTTCATCTTCATATGGAAACACACACACACACACACACACACACACACACACACACACACACCCTAGGATAGGTAAAATAATATTTAACAACAACACAAACTACTAGAGGTGTCTCCATCTAATTTCAAATTGTACTACAGAGCTTTAATTTTAAAAACAACATGGTATTGGCATAAAAACGGACATGTTGATTAAATAGAATCAAATTGAAGACCCAGACATAAATCCATACCTGATGTGGACACCTGATTGTTTATAAAGAAACCAGAAATAGACACGGCAAAAAAGACAGCATCGTCAACAATTGGTGCTGGTCTACTGGATGTCTACATGTAGAGGATGTAAATAATTCCATACTTATGACCCTGCACAAAACTCAAGCCCAAATGGATCAAAGACCTCAACATAAAACCAGATACATTGAATCTAATAAATTCCTTTAGAAGAGTTTAGAAGAGCGGATCCAAGACAATGGACATTGAGTTGTTTATACAGTTGGAGTTTGATTTTGCTTTGATTTGGTTGTGACTGTGCCCTCGTTCTTAGCTCTTGAAGTAAGGATGCATTTAATTTATTTTGATTTTACAGCAGCCCACATTTGAGAGACTAAATTTTTAAAGGGACTTTAGGTTTTAAGGGAAACTTTGGATTTTTAAGAGAGACTGAATTTTAAAGTGTCTGAATTTGGAAAGACTGTGGAACTTTTAAAGTTATTTATGCTTTTTAACATGCGATCTTGGGGATGAGTAAGAAAGGAAAGGTTGTGGATTCATAGTGATGTGTTTGTGTGTCGAGTTAGCAAAGGTGAATTGTACAGGCTAGTTTTATGTCAGCTTGACACAGGCAACTAAAGTTATCTGAGAGGAGGGAACCTCAATTAAGAAAATGCCTCTATAAGATTGAACTATAGGCAAGCTGGTAGGGCATTTTCCTAATGGTTGTTGGGGGAGGGTTCAGCCCATTGTAGGTGGTGCCATCTTTCGGCTGGTGGTCCTGAGTTCTATAAGAAAACAGGCTGAACAAGTCTTGATGAGGAAGCCAGTAAGCAGCCCCTTCCATTGCCTCTGCATCAGCTCCTGCCTCCAGGTTCCTGCCCTGTTTGAGTTTCTGCCTTGACTTCCTTTGATAATGAACAGTGCTGTGGAAGTGTAAGCCAAATAAACCATTTCTTCCCCACCTTGCTTTTTGGTCATGGTGTTTCATTGAAGCAATAGAAATCATAACTAAGACACCAACCAATATCTGGTTGGTTTTGTAGCCTGCTCCATAAGATAGAACCCATCCCTTACACTGCTGGGATGTTCAATAACCTGAGACTAAAGAGGCAAGTTACCTGGGGGAAATTCAAATGCTACTTTTCTGATAAGGGAAGCAATAAAATGATCCCTAAAGACATTCTAATATACTTCAAGAACAGTGTCTTTTTCAGCCATCCCTAGAGAAACTTCCTCCTGTAGTAGATAGGAACAAAAAAAGATCCACAATGGAACAGTGTGCAGGGAGTGCAAGGCCTTGGAATACTCTATCCTAAATGGGATGTCTCCATCAAATCCCTTTCCTCAGAGCTCAAGGAACCCAGTGTAAGAGGAGGCAGAAACACAATAGGACTGATGCACATTATGAACTCACAGACTATGACAGCAAGCATAGAGCCTGCACATGTCTAAGTCTAATGAGACTCCAGTGTTGAGAGGGGAATTGGTCACAACCCACCCCCCTCCACCCCTGAGAAGCTATCTCCAATTGATAAGTACTGGCAAAGGAAAAATTAGTTTTCTCCAATGGAGTATCACCGGGTGTACATACCATTCTTAAGGATAGATCCCATGCCCAGCAGTAGATGGCCAACAAAATAAACTCAATGGAATTTTTGAAGATTCCTTGTCATATAGTGCTTTGTCTGGGCTTTTTTTTTTTCTTTTTAAACTTCAAGTCTTTTTGTATGTATTATGGTTTCTGGTGTTGTGTTTTTATGGAATTTCTGTGTATGTGAAAATGTACGATTTGTGTCAGTATGTGTTTCTTATGCTTTCTCTTTGGCCTTTTTCATTCTGTTTGTCCTATTTTGTTTATTCTTATTCTTATTATGATTTTAAAATATCTATTTATATTCTAAGGAGAAAGAGAGAAAGTGGGGGGTCAGGATCGGAAAGGAGTTGGTGAGAGAAAAACCTCAATTAGAATAAATTGTATGGGAAAATATATTTTCAATAAAAAAACTATAAATTATACCTTATAGTTCTTATCAAAGAAATAATTTATTAACATTTGTTGCAGATTAAGAAAATTGCTGCATATTAACTCCGTACTTGTTTCTGTCTCTTTACCCAAAGTCCTTTGTAAGGATGGTGCCTTACAAAGTAGGCATTCAGTATTTGAACTCTTGTCCAGCAAATGAAGCACTTTGCCTTTCATCCCCAGCAGGGGAAAAAGAAACCATAAAATTTGCATTCAATAATATGTGTAGAAATGATATTATGGGTTAATACTTATAAAATGTCTAACACAATATCTGGATTGTAACACTTCTGATGTGAGTGAGTTATTAGGTTTACAAACTTCCTCTAATAGTATTCTGAAAGAAGTTACCAAGCTTGAGCAGGTGACCTGGAATGCTCAAGGTCCATTTACTGTATGAAAAGCCACAGTATTTTGGGACCAATGTTTGGTTTGGTTTGGTTTTTCAAGACAAAGTTTCTCTGTGTAGCCCTAGCTGTCCTGGAACTCACTCTGTAGACGAGGCTGGCTTCATACTCACAGAGATTCTCCTGCCTCTGCCTCCTGAGTGCTGGAATTAAAGGCTTGTGCCACCACCACCTGGCTCAATGTTTTGTTTATATAGATAAAATGCTAATAAAGCGAATGAATCTTAATCAATGTGTCTTTCCACAGGGAATTTCAGTCTGGAGGAACTAACTACTTTGGTTTTCTTGACCAATTTCTTTTTGAGCTAAGGTACAAAGATCCCTTATACCACAGGAACACAGGGTTGGATGAAGGCTCTGGTCTTAGGACTTTGATCTGGATAATGGCATAATTGGGCTCTTTCTTGGTTTCAGATGTTCATACAGAAGCTGTCCAAGCAGCTCTTGCTAAACACAAAGAAAGGAAGATGGCAGTACCTATGCCTTCCAAACGAAGATCTCTGGTTGTACAGACTTCCATGGATGCCTACACACCCCCAGGTAAGTAATAACCTCATTATTTCTGCTGCTTGTATGTGTGGTACATCTGGCTTAGAATTAATTGATAACTACCTCAGCAACAGCAGTCTTAAATTATTTTTCAATGAACATACAACATAATGAGTTTCATCACAGCATTTTCACATGTACATTGTTGTTACTCATCCTCTTCACTGTCCTCAGATCCTGATTCCCCACTTTCTCTCTCTCTCATTAGAATATAAATAGATATTTAAAAATAAGAAGAAGAAGAATAAGCAAAATAGGACAAAACAGAATGGAAAAGGCCAAAGAGAAAGCATAAGAAACACATACTGACACAAATCGCACACTTTCACATACACAGAAATTCCATAAAAACACAACAACAGAAACCATAATACATAATACACTGTACATCTCATTCATCCCTTTCCTTTCACCAGTTTGACACACTTTCCCTTTTATGTCACACTTATCCCATTACCCTCTCTTGTGCCCCTCCCTTTAGATCTTATCCTCTCCTCTTATTTATTATCTTATAATTCCTTTTCTGCTTTCATGTCCTACATACTCTCCCCCCCCACATCTAGATTTCATATGTGAATGGGAGCATGCAGTGTTCCTCTCTGTGTAGTATAGTTTATTTTCTCTAACATAATGAACTCCATCCATTTTCTTGCAAACATCATGACTTTATTCTTCTTTGCAGCTGAATAAAAGTCTATTTTGCGTATCTAACTACATTTTCTTTATTCATTCATTTATTGATAGGCATATAAGTTGGTTCTAGAACCTGGCTATTGTGACTTGTGCTACAGTAAACAAGGATGCACAAGTGTCTGTAATTTGTTGACATAGAGTCCTTTAGATATATGCCCAGGAGGTAATAATTTTGTAAACCACACTCCAAAAATAGCATGTGAGTTTAACTTGGAAGGGAAATTTTTACATCATTATGTTTGTACCTATATTAATAAGTATTTTAGACTTTTCATCAAGACTCAACTATAATTATACAAAGCCTTATAAGATTATGTTCAATTATTTATTCATATATAAAATATTACACCTTTTAGTTATTATTGAAGCTAGATATATCTTCTGCTAGACATATATATATATATTCTTAAATTTTTATAATATTAATATACTATATTATCACATTGTGGAAGAAACCAAGTGAATTGGTCAATCAATTAAGTTAGTAGCCTGAAACAGAAGTCACTGGGCCTTACCTGTGGAGTATGAGACAGTATTTTAGCTTCTGTAGGTTTTCACAACACCTCGCCTCTGCTATTGTAGTATAAAAGTAGGCTTTGATGTGTGTCGATGGATGAAAGTATTGTATCCCAGTAAAAGTTTACAAAAGCAAGCAGCAGGCACAATTTAGGCCATAGATAAACTAACCCTTTTTCTAAAATGGTTGAAAGTAGTAGTTGAAAGTTTACTGTCTTTTTGCCATAATAGTATGTTTTATGTGACTAGTAAAATATTTGTTGCTGTATATTTTATTTTAAAAGGCTGACATATATCACAGTTAGGGAAATTAAGAAAGATGGTATCTTCTTGCCTCTGGTGAGGGCTTTATAGCTATGCCACAGTATGGTAAGATAACATTATAGGAGGGTAAGTGTAAGAGGGAGAGATCCCATGGGAAGACAGGGAGCCAAAGGAACTTTACTAGTCTTTTTATAACAGCATATTCCCACAGGAACTAATAAGGTCCTGTAAAACTTTTTATTTGCATCTGGTGGCACTAAATCATTGTACACAAAGTGCTCAGGAGCCCATTTTTCAGTAATCGACACTTTTGGAGGATTTGAGCTAGCTTCTCACCTACAAGTTACATAATCTGTGAATGAAGACACTTTTGTTTAAATCTAGGTATTTATAACTTAGTTTTATCAATTTGTTTCACAGGCTGTAATCTTCTAAATCAGGTTGACTAGAAGTTGTAAGGAATGATTTCCTTGCCTCATTCTCAGTTTTAGGAGGAATGCTTTTAGTCATTTACTATTAACTGTAGTCCTAGCTGTAGATTTTTGCTGATGGACTTTTAATAGTTTGAGGAAATTTTCCTTGCATTCCTAGTTTGTTGAATGTTTTTATCTTGATGTCATCAAATACTTTTTCTGGTCTTAGAAGATACCACATTTTGCCAATCTTTTAGTGTGTTAGTAACAGTAACTCACTTTTAAATACTAACATTAAATTTAATTATGGGTTTAAGTGTCCAGTTCTACCCACTACTTGCTCATAGTCTATCATCTATCTTGTATGTTGCTTGTATAGTTAATATTTTGTGGAGGATTTTTGTGTCTTTATCCTGAGGGATATTGTTCAATTGTTTTGTCTTGAAAGGTAGTATGGGATGTTGTAATAAATGATAGATTGACTAGAAAGGAGTATGTGAAGAATTTCTGGGTAGAAGCTTGTACATTGCATTGATATATTATCTTACGAATAAATATCTGAAATGTTAAAGTTTCAGTTTATATAGTGTCATATATAAACTATATGCTAAAAAGGCAAAGAGAAATTTTCAAACAAAAAATCTAGAGAGCATGGACAGTGATAAACTAGTGTAGCTATTCTTAATGATGCTGTTTCTGCTCTTTTCTGTTACGTATTTCAGAGATATTTCTTGTTATATCACATAATTCATCTCTAGGTGGGATCCTAAGTCATTCTTACACTACAGATTAGATAACAAACAGTACAGTCATTCATTCTTATCCCATTGCCACTTAACTGAACACATACTGAATGAAAATATGTCTATTAATTTTTATGTATAATATAAATTTTTCTTAAGGTTATCATTTTTTCATATAGAACGATAAGCCAACTAAATATGAGACATTTTTTAGTAAATTAATGCTATAAAAGTGAATAGATTTTATTGATCATGAGAGTTATGAGAGTACATAATGAGCATGAGAGGTAGAGACAGAAATCACAAAGTGGGTAAGTTACTGGAGAAGGAGGTGGGTTCTTCTTAGCTGCCATTTCTTCATCAAAAGTTCAAAGTCTGAAGCATCTTATAAATGTGTTGTACTCATAATAATCCTAAAAATAAGTTATAGTTCAGAAAAGTATTTTGAACTTCTAAGGACTCACAACAAACATGTGGAAGCAGCTCAAGCATGTCTTATAAAATGGTGCCTCATCCTGTAACTTGGTGGATGTGCACAAAGAAGATGCTGGCTTCTTCCCAGTTATGCTGAGAAAAATCAACTATCTTTGCCTAGTATTTTAATGTCCAGATAGCATACTTAAGGTATTTTAGTTATGACACTTAATACACACACACACACACACACACACACTGCATTATTTGAAGAGCAGAAGAACTTTTTAAGGATATTTGAAGCCAAAAGTCACTGGGTAGTTATTTGTTCTGAAGTGAGTTTCTGTAGTGTGTGGAAAGGGGTTAAGACTGAGGGGCATCTTTGCTGCATATTTAACAAATCTCTTTTTGAAAACAGATACTTCTTCTGGTTCAGAAGATGAAGGCTCAGTGCAGGGTGATTCCCAGGGAACCCCGACCTCTAGCCAGGGCAGCATCAACATGGAGCATTGGATCAGCCAGGCCATCCATGGCTCTACCACATCAACCACCTCCTCTTCCTCCACTCAGAGTGGGGGCAGTGGGGCAGCACACCGGCTGGCAGATGTCATGGCTCAGACACACATAGGTGAGTGAGATGACATAGCTTGGAGGGATGATGCCTTTGCCTAAGTCTAGTTTGCTCTTGTTATCTGAGTTAGCACTGAATGTTGATTTGTTCTCTAGGAATACTCTGGTTATAAAGTCTGATTGACACAAGCAAAACCTTTGAGATTTTTGGGTTGCTGCACTGGTCTAAACATTTCTGAAACACTTGTTTTATGGTTATTCAATACCTCAGTCTCTATTTTAGCAAGAATTCTGCTAGCTTTGTGTTGGTATTAGAGTACATTTTTGTTCATTACGAAAACTTGTAGCCATATCTACTTACAGGTTTGTGTTTTATGCTAAATAACCTACTCAATGAAAATTTGTGGTGCTGGTAAAGACAACAGAGTATAAAGTACAGTTACTTTTACTTGGGGGATGGGAAGGTCATTTGAGGAACTTGTGGGACAATGATTTCTGCCAAAGGCATTCAGATTGTTTAGGTACTTGGAACTATTCTGTATGTAGGTTCTTGAATGAGGAAGGCTATATAGATTAGGAAAAGTACAGGGTGGGCTAGAAAGATGGCCCACCAGAGTTAAGAGCTCATACTGCTCTTAGTAGAGGGCCTGAGTTTTGTTGCCAGCACAAACACTGGACTATTCACAACTGCCTGTAGCTTCAACTCCAGGCAATCCAGCAGCCTTTCTGGCCTACACAGTAGCCATACCCATATACATCTAGCCCCAGTTTCATGTATATAATGAAAAATAAAAATCTTAAACCCAGAAGGCCAGAGCATGACTATGGGGCATGTGAAAATAGCTTAGGAAAGGAGGTAAGTAATAAATAAAGGAAATATGTTAGATGAGTAATTGATCATATGAAATGTATGGGTGATGTTACCATTCCAGTCCATGTGCTTATTACATACCATGTCCTAGTCTAATCCTCACTCTCAGGGCAGAAGTGTGACAGCTAGGTCTGTTCTCATCCATTGGTTTCTGTGGATTAAGATGCTTAAACAGTTTAACAGTGACAGGTTTACACAAGTAAATTTCTTGGATAAGATACAGTATGGTCTCTCCATCATGTATCCAAGTAGGGAAAGAGCCAGGTACTTTGGGGCACTTGCATATCACATTGTCATCCATACTGAGAATAAGAGGTATAGATGCAGTTCTTCTAAGCCACACTTCTAATGCTTCAGAATTACCTTCCAACATTAGGAAGCAGGAAAAGGAATGAATGAGTTAAACAAGCCACAGTAAGCTCAGATACACAGAGTGTGGCTCTTTAACTACTTGATGGGCAGGCAAAGTAATTTCAAACTGACATTTTAAGCTTCACCTCAGTTGAACTTGAACAGAGTTAAAAGCATTAACCTTTATTGTATCCAAAATAAGTTTTCCTGAAGAGCAGCATCTGCTTTGCGTTCTCCCATTAACAATCTCTGGGATCTTGAAATCACTTTTCAATGAAGGGGAAAAAAATGGGAACCATAATTTCTTGCTCTTGTACCTCTCAGAACTGTTGCAAGCAAAAAGAAGAAAATAAAAGCATTCTGAGAAGTTTTTAAAGCAATGTTCTTTTTCAAAGTGATATTATTTCAATTTAACACATTTTGAAGAAAATTACCAGTTAATGTTACCTAATAACATCCATTTGAAATATTAGAAGATTAAACATTGTGTGTAAATGTCACATTAAATACTTTCGACAACACAATTTATTTTTGCTTACTGGCACTTAGGATGGCTGCTGAGGCTGTCATCCATCCATGGCACCTGAGCAGATAGGTTACCCAACAACTTGGCCACATGGAAGTATTTATATTCTTTGATTTTGTTCTTTTAAGGAGGTTCTCAGAATGTTAATAAGAGGACCACATATTTTTGAACAAATTAATCACTGCCTTTGGCTTTCTCTTTGTGAGTTTATACTTGGAATACTGGAGGAAATTATAGCATGCAGAATTAAATTTATCCAAACTATAAAAGGTTGCATTACTCATATACACCAAAGCTTGGTGTGACCTAAATATAACTCCTGAGTGTGTGACATTTCAGTAATTTCTCATTTGGCACAAGGATAAGTTCCTAGAATATCTGGGACTTATCTATAGGAATTGCCTTTTTTTTTTTTCAAGCAATGGCAAGATAATGAAACCTGATGAAAATTAGAATACTTCATTCCAGAGACAAAAAAAAAAAAAAAAAAAAAAAAATCAAAGTTGGCAGCACTTGACCTTTTTGTTGAGATCATCAAAAGCTTTAGAATGAGAAAATAGCATGTGTGTATGCCTTCATGTACATGAATGCACATTTGAGAAGGCTCAAGGCAAAATAAGCTACCAAATCACACTTAATCCCTTTGGGCATGTTGCTTCCTGTGGAGCCTATAGAGACTTCTTTTGCACATAAATGAGAAAAGCCAAGTGATAACAACCATACAATCTCTCTCAAAATGGGCATTCTTCTGTTCCTTGGTTAAAGCAAAATCTCAAGTCCTTGTGTACTTTTTGCAAATTTCATTGAGCATATGCCTGATACAACTCCCGTGTGTTTTGGTAAGCTAGGATGGCTTACTGTAGGATGTAAAAATTCTATTCTGAGCTATCATTTTGACTTTCTCCTGTGGTGCTTGCTGTGTATATTGCAAGATAAGCTTGTTAGTCTCTAGCTGAGGATCCTGACAGCAAAGCCTCAAACCTGACAGTGCTAAGTTCTAAGACTGTATAGATTGCTAGTACAAGGAGTCAGACCTAATGTTCTCACTTCCTACATTACTGACAGAATAATTCATTGGCTGACTTGATTGCCTTCTCTCCATCACCATAACCAGGATAACTTGTTTTCTGGACATGAAACCTAGTGCCTTGTGCATATTAGCCAAGCTCTGTACCACTGAGGCACATCCCAATTCAAAATGACACTGGCTCACTCATGGTAATTATGAAAGTATTTATTAAGTATTGTAAGGCTGGACATTATAGCTCAGGAGTTGCTTCTCATGGCTTATTCAATCCTAAATAACACACACACACACACACACACACACACACACACACACACACACACACACA